TACGCAGCAAGTGAACTGAAAAGTAGAACAACATCTTTGGAAAAAAGTGTGGTGGTTTGTAAAGGGACAAGATATTGATGTACCATGTGACTCAGCAATTCCCAGTCGAGAATATATCTGGAGGCACTCCAGTCTGGGCGACAGAGTGAGACTCCAACTCAAAACAAAACAAAATAAAACAAAACAAAAAGAAAGTCTAATTGTCCACCCAAGTTGTCTGGCCCTGAAAACTAGCATTAACAAAGACATTTGAGGGAGGGGGAGGCATATAACAACAATAAGGGTACCTGATCTCAAACCGGGCAAAGTGGGGACTAAAGGGAGGCTCAAACATTACCTGTCCACTTGTATACTTAATTCTGAATTGTACCCCACATCTTTAAAATACAACTTGCATAAAAACAAAATAAAGATATTCTTTCTGGTTTCCTAAATCAAGATAAAACATTTATAGTGTTTTCTGCAGTATACATTAAGTGTCCTAGTCCTGAACAAATGCCAGCAGGCAGTTGTTTCTACTTTAGAAAATTAAATCAGCTGGGCTTGGTGGCTCAGCCTGTAATCCCGCGCCTTTGGGACACTGAGGTGAATGGATTGCCTGAGTCTGCGGGTTCAAGACCCACCTGGGCAACTTGGCAAGACCTCTTCTCTACAATAAATCAAAAAATTAGCCGGGTGTGGCAGTGTGCGCCTGTGCTCCCAGCTACTTGGAAGGCTGAGGCGGAAGGATCGCCGGAGCCCAGCAGGTCGAGGCTGCGGTGGCCGGGAGCAGCCACTGGACTCGTCTGGGTGACAGAGTGAGACTCCAACTCAAAAAAAAAAAAAAAAATGAAATCACCAAACTCTAATAAGAGTTTACTGCATCTTCATATCTTTAAAGAATCCAGGATGTGTCTTCCCCAAACCAAGACATCCCTTGTTTTAGGTAGGCAGAGTACAGCACTATAGAAAAACAGTTCCAATGGATCATGACTTCAACAAACACTCCCCACTGTCATCAAAGAGCAAACGAAAGCACATAATTATGAGCAAATCCAAATTTATTTTAACACCATCTCATTTTCAATGTGTTTAAAAACCTCATAAGTTAGTGGGAGCCCTAGTTCCCTGGGACAGCATGCCAGAGGTGCTGAAATTTGTCACCTTTCTCTATAAACCCCCAGCAATCCAATCCAAGTTCATAGCTTCAGAAAGCCAGGAGTTGTCTCTTCAGTCATTCTACTCTTCTGGGTCCTGGTTTTTCTTTCAAGGGAGGGAGTTCACAATATTTCAAACAGGGAACAAAACCACA